GGTTGTGTGGGTGGCAGCCAGTCCACTTGTACCTTTCGTGTCGATGTCTCTCTCTCTCTCCCTCCAGCTCCATCTGAACAAAAAATGAGTAAATGTCCTCGGGTGAGGATAAAAAAAAATAATAATCCTCACCTGAGGATATTTTCCCATTTATCTTAGATAGTGTTCGGGGGGGGGGGGGGAAGCAAGGGGAGGGAGAGAAACACCAATGTGAGAGAGACATATCAAATGGTTGCCTCCCGCAGGACTCTGACCAGGGCTGGTGACTGAACAGCAACTGAGATACATGCCCTGACCAGAATCAAACCTGCAGGCTGACACTCTAACCGCTGAGCCAAACCGCCAGGGTCATGTCCATGCACTTAAAAAAACTTTTTTTATTTTTCTTTGCTGATTTTTAGAGATAGGAAGGAAGAGGGAGAGAGAGAGATGGAAACATTGATGAGAGAGAACGTCGACTGGCCTCCTCCTGCATGTCCCTCACTGGGGATTGGGCCCACAACCTGGGCACTGGGCATGTGCCCTGACTGTGAATTGAACCAGTGAACTCTTGGTGCATGGGTCGACACTAAACCACTGAGCCACACCGGCTGCGCTTGTCCATGCACTTTAAATAGGAATTTAGCATTGAATTCTCCTAGCAAAATGGCTTTTCTACTCTGAGAAAATTTACAGCCTCCTTGAAGCCTCCAACACCACTCTCCTCCCTGCCCTGATCATTTATTTCATCCAAAAAATGGAAATAGCCTGGTTGGTATGGCTCAGTGGATTAAATAACGTCCCATGGACCAAGAGATCACCAGTTTGATTCCTGGTCAGGGCACATGCCTGGGTTTTGGGCTCCAGACCCAGTGGGGGTGCAAGCAGGAAGCAGCCGATGGATGTTTCTCTCTCACATTGATGTTTCTATCTCTTTCTCCCTTCCTCTCGCTCTAAAAATCAATACACACACACACACACACACACACACACTTTTTATCCTCACCTGGGGACATTTCTTGCATTTATCTTGAGGGAGAGAGGAAGAGAAAAACATCCACGTGAAAGAGACACATCGAGTGATCACCACCCACACGACCCCAACCAGGGCCGGGGACAAACCGCAACCGAGGTACATGCCCTTAGTGGGAGCCGAACCCGGGTCTCTCTGGTCCGCGGGCCAATGCTCTAACCGCTGAGCAAACCAGCCAGGGCTCAATAAAAACATATTTTAAAAAGAAAACAGAAATAGCTCTGGCCTGTGTGGCTCAGCAGGTTGGTGCTCATCCTATGCACCAAAAGGTGGTGGATTCAACTCCCAGTCAGGGCACATACTAGGTTACAAGTTTGATTCCCCGTCAGGCACCCACCAGAGGAACTGATCAATGCTTCTCACATCGATGTTTCTTTCTCTCTCTTTCCCTTCCTCTTTCTGAAATTAAAATAAGGAGAAGGAAAGAGAACGGAAATTGTTTTGTCTATCCTCCTTCAACTCTCCTGCATGTATATACAGTCGGCCCTCGTTTATCGCAGTTAATCAGTTCCAGACTCTACCATGATAAATGAATTTCCGCAAAGTACGATTCTTTATATAGTCGGCCCTCGCTGCTTCGTACTTCGACTTTCGCGGTTTCACTCTATCGCGGTTTTTTTCAAATATAGTATAGCATAGTATAGTATAGTATAGTATTAGTATTAGTATTATAATTTTTTCAAATATAGTATAGTATTTGGAAAAACCACGATAGAGTGAAGCCGCAAAAGTCGAAGCGCGAAGTGGCGAAGGATGACTGTATCATATACTCTGTCTACTCTTCTGTTTCAAAAGTTAAATAGAAACCGTCCTTCATCCCAGCCCAAACTTTCTACTTAAGCACATCTATCCAATGATTTTGTGGCCACTGTTCCCATTAATACATGAAAATGCTGTAACATCATCACTACCATCCACTTCTCCTTACCCCGCTCTGATCACTTTTGGCACTAGTTCATTTGAAGCGCTCTTATCAAATTTCAACTACTTTACTTGGTCACATGAGCAATATTGAATCCTCATCCTATTTGGAGCGGGATTTTACAGTTGACTGAGGCCCCCTTCCTGAAACATTTCCTTCCCTTAGTAGCACAGATGCCACATTCTTTTCTGCTTCCATCACTGTTTGCTCTTCTGACCAGAGTGCTCCCAGCCTTCTGCCCTCTTTCTCCATTTACACTCTTTACTTGATGTCCTCCTGTCAGTCCACAGATTCAAATATCACCTATAAAATTTGACTCTCAGATTATCTCCCTAGCCGGACATCTTCCCTGAGAAACAGCTGTGGAAATCCAACTTGGCTATTGCATATATTCTGAGCTGTGTACTAGTTATCAAACTCAGCACATCTTTCATAGAGATCCTCATTTATTCCTCAGAAACCAGTGTACCCTCCCCAGGCCTCATTTCAGTAAATGGCACTACTGTTCACCCAGATGCTTGGGAAAAACAGTTAATTTCTTAAAAAAAAAAAAATTTCTTTTGGTCCTAGGCATGAAGGCAAGACAGATTTGGCTCCATCTTCAAATTACATTCCAAATCAAACCACTTCTCACTAACTTACAAATCTACACCTCTAGTTCAAGCCACCATTTCTCAACGGGACTACCACAAGCCTCCTTAGGGGCTGGTTTCCCCACTTTCCTTTAACTTGGTCTATTCCCCACATAGCAACTAAACATTAAAAGCATAAATCAGATGTTGTTCCCCCGGCCAAAATCCTCTAATGGCTTCTCATTACAGACAGAAAAATGAATATCTAGTTCCATCTTATTTAGTCCTCGTTAATCACTCTGACCTTATCTCCCATCACTCTTCCTTCACTATGCACCAGCCAGCCACACTGGCATTCTTAGAATTATAATAGGTCAAGTTCATCCTCCTCAAGGTCTTTGCATTTACAGTTACTGCTATCTTAAATATCTTCCCTCACATCTTCCTCATCTTTTAGGTCTTCAGTCAAAACATCAAGTCCTCAGAGAGGTAGATCTTTGTTCACTTCCCTTTCAAAATTAGACACCTTCACCCTAGTCACTCTAACTTAATCTAACTCTAATCCTGCTATATTTTCTTAACATTAATCACCACCCGAAACTATATTTGCTTACTTCTGTATATCCTCTCTCTTTCTTCAAGCTCAATGAGTATAGTGCCTGGAATATAGCAGTTGCTCAATAAACATTTCTTTTTTTTTTAAATCCTCACCCAAGGACATTTTCCCATTTTTTGTTCAGATAGAGTGGGAGGGAGAGAGAGGAAGAGAGAGAGATAAACATCGATGTGAAAGGGACACATCGAGTGGCTGCCACCCACACGACCAACCAGGGCCGGGGACAAACTGCAACCGAGTCACGTGCCCTTAGCGGGAACCAAACCCAGGTCTCTCTGGACCGCAGGCCAATGCTCTAACCGCTGAGCAAAACCGGCCAGGGCTCAATAAACATTTCTTGAATGAACAGTACCATCTCTCAATAACCAAGGATTGAAATTTCAGGCATCACTGGATGGGCCTTTTCTGATCTTATGAACAGTAAATGTTTAGCACTGGTTAACTAAAATGCATTAACACATATCAGTATAACTGCATATACTTTCCAGATTATTTTCTAGTACTAAAAAAATCTACCCCAAAACCCCAAACAACATTTTATAATGCATAAAGGAATACTACTTTAGATCTTGATATATAAGGCTGACTCTAACTTCTGATTACAAATTATTGCCTAATTATATTACAAAATTACCATAAAGTAATGAAACTGGCATCTTCAACTTAATGTAAATTTATATATATATATACACAAACTTATTTAATACATATATTGTTGGAATGGTAGATAATTATAAAAGTCTCATACATAAGGGGGAAAAAAACCCCAGTCATTTAAAAATTAAATTTGAACCCCAAATCACTGGCAATAATAATATCCACGATGACTGGACCATAGTTGACTCCTTGCCATTGTTATCTCCGGAATGAATGAATCCACGTGTAAACTGTGATGTTTCAGCATCATGAGTTAGATAATGTAAACGAGAGGTCAGAGGTTTATCATTTTAGTCCACTAAACAGAAAAGGAAACTTATAGGGGGATCAAAAAGCAAATTTGGCAGTTTGAAAATGAGGTTTTAAAACTCTAAAGGATTTCGGTTGTTTTTTACACTGAAAGCGATGCGGAGTAGAAATGCTGACATTAATGACATGAGCTCCACAGATACAGGTTACTAAAGAGGTTTTAGTTCCATGAGAGAAACTCAATGGCCACCGTACTTGACACTAGATACCTCCTTTCAGACAAGCCTGGAAGGTAGATGCGCGACAGCCCCAAACCACCGAGTCGGGCGGAGATCGCCTCGTAAGTTGCCCAGAAGGTAAACTTCTCGGGGTCCCGCAGCAGGAAAGAGCGAGGGCCCTCTCCGATGACTAGGGGCTGCCCCCAAGGAAAGAACGAATCTCAGTGCACACCGGGAAAGCAAAAATGAAAAGCGACAGAGCCGCCGGGCTCCTAACCCCACCCTGCCCGCGCTCAGCCCAGAGAAGGCCCAGTCCCCGGGGTCGCCACCCCTCCTTCCAGCCTTTTCCAAGCCCACCGAACGGCGCCGGGAGAGTCCCGCCGCCCTCCTCTCCCCTCCCCCAAACCAGGGGCAGCGGAGGCCCAAGAGGTTGGGAGCTTCCGTTCCTTCCCCGCCCAAATGGGAAGAGGTGGGCAGTGGGGCAGCGAGCGTGCCCAGTGCGAGCCTCCCCCGTCCTCCACGCGGGCCCGGAGCTCTGTTCCCACCCCAGCCCGAGACTCACTCGTCAGCCCCGCAGCACCGCAGCCACCGCAGCCGGTCCCCGCGCACCGCCACAGCCCCCACTCCAGGGCCGCCCCCCCACCCCCACAAGCCTGCCGCCGTGGGTTCCGGGGCAGTTGGAGGAATCACTTCCGTCGGGTCACGGATGCTTCTACGACGCGCGGGAGATTAGTATTTTGAGGCGGGGACGCACCGAGTGTGTCGCCCATTTTGGTCCGCAGGAAGTGCACTGTGCCCCTCGCCCTTCTCCCAGTAGCACCGTACCCCAGGCCAGTGTGGGGAGCACAGCGACCACTGGCAAATCGCAACCAATCTGATACTAGGTGTTCTGCTTCGCGCATGCAGCGCTGACCCCGATCCAGTCGACGCAGGGACAGCAGCCTCAGAGCCGTGCTCGCGGCGGTCCGAGGTCGCGCTGCATCCTAGGATTTGTAGTTTCTCGGGCGGGTGGGCCTGCGTTTGGTCGCGGCAGCAGTGCATCCTGGGAATTGTAGTTTCCCACGCCGAGTGGTAACGATTTGGGCAATTTTAGAGGTTGTCCCTGCCTCTCGTTTGGGGGTATACCTGGAGGCTGGAGACTGTCTGCAGAGGAAGGGTGGAAAGGTGGGAGTGCGGTTTCTCAGCGAACAAGGTCGTGTTCTTTGTGAAGCAGCATCTATCTATCTGTCTTTAGTGAGAAGTTGCAGTGCGTGTTGAAGGGCATGTCAACTGCTCGCGCAATCGGCTGGCCTCACTTCCTCTCTTCCCGGTACCGTTCAATGTTTTCCGAAAAGTAAGCACATTCCCCCCGCCCCCACCTCCGTCCCCTCCCAGCCTCGGGGTTCCTTAGCTCTTCTCGGTTCTGAGATCATTCACATAATTCTGCCACCAGCACTCAATTCTGAGACCATCTTTGTCACTCCGCGCCCCCTCTGCCCCCCTTGCTCTCTCGCTCACTGGCTCTCTCTCGACCCGCCTATCCTTTTTACTTTTCCTGTGGTTAACATCTGGCACCCTTCCAGGAAGGCTGAAGCAGCTATTCACCCTCTTTGCAGGACTGTGGCACGTAGGGACAGTAAGGCCAAGAAGCTCACCACTGCAAGTTGCTCAACTAGCTACTGTTGTGTAACAATGGCCATAAAGGGAAACAGACAATCCAAAGTTTGTTGACCAAATTAATGGCCTGGAGGACACTTTTAGTTGATTTGGCAGATAAACTGTATTGTTTTTTACAGAAAAACTGCCTTGGGTTAACTTACCAAAGCTTTTGCAAAAATTGTTAAAATTCTTTAGTTGTCATGGTACTCAGGGTTTGATTGGGAGGAGACACTGAAGGGGTGAGAAGAGGAGGCTGTGGGCCCAACTTATTTCTTTTTAAAAAAATCTTTATTGTTGAATGTATTACAGATGTTCCTCATTTTTCCCCCATTGACCCGCTTCTCCCCCCCCCCCCCACCTCCCTCCTACCTTTTCCCACAAAGTTGTCTGTGTCCATTGATTATGCATATAAGTTCTTTGGTTTATTTCTTCTCACCCCCCCAACCCCCTTCCCATTGAGGTTTATCAGTCTAGCAACCAATTTGTACTTCTTAGTCCCTTCACCTTTTTCACCCATTCCCCCAACCCCCCTCCCATCTGGCCACCAACAAAATGTTCTCTGTGTCTATGAGAATGTTTCTGTTCTGCCTGTTCATTTTGTTTGTAGATTCAATTGTCAATAGATATGTATTCATTGCAATATTGTTTGTTCATATATTTTATCTTTTTTTCAAAAAGATCCTTCATCATTTCATATAATAAAGGTTTGGTGGTGATGAACTCCTTTAACTTTTTCTTGTCTGGGAAAATCTTTATATGGCCATTGATTCTAAATGACAGCTTTGCAGGATAGAGTAATCTTGGTTGTAGGTTCTTGCTTTTCATCACTCTGAATATTTCTTGCCACACCGTTCTGGCCTGCAAAGTTTCTTTTGAGAAATCGGCTGACAGTCTAATGGGAACTCCCTTGTAGGTAACTAACTACTTTTCTCTCGCAACTTTTAAGATTCTCTTTGTTTTGAAACTTTTGCATTTTGATGATGATGTGTCTTGGTATGGGCCTCTTGGAGTTCATCTTGTTTAGGACTCTCTGTACTTCCTGGACTTGTATGTGTGTTTCCTTCACCAAGTTAGGAAAGTTTTCTGCCATTATTGTTTCAAATAGATTTTCGATTTCTTGTTATCTCTCTTCTCCTTCTGGCACCCTCAAGATGCGAATGTTGGCATGCTTGAAGTTGTCCCAGAGGCTCCTTACACTATCCTCATTTTTTTTGGATTCTTTTTTCTTTTTGTTGTTCTGATTGGGTGTTTTTTGCTCCCTTATATTCCAAATCGATGGTTGCTTCTTGGCTTTACCTATTCTACTATTGAATCTGTATAAATTATTCTTTATTTCAGTTAATGCCTTCTTCTTTTCTGACTGTGCATCCTTCATTTCTGACTGGTCCTTTATATATATATAAATATAAATATATATATTTATATATATAACTATATATAAATATATATATTTTTTTATCCTCACCAGAGGACACTTTTTCATTTTTTGTTCAGGTAGAGCTGGAGGGAGAGAGAGGAAGAGAGAGAGAGAGAAACATCGACGTGAAAGGGACACAGCGAGTGGCTGCCACCCACACGACCAACCAGGGCCGGGGACAAACTGCAAATGAGGTATATGCCCTTAGTGGGAACCAAACCCAGGTCTCTCTGGACCGCAGGCCGATGCTCTAACCGCTGAGCCAAACTGGCCAGGGCCTGACTGGTCCTTTTTTATGCTCTTGAGGCCCTCACTAAGTTCACTGAGGTTCTCATTAAGTTCATTGAACATCCTTATAAGCAGTATTTTGAACTCAGCATCTGTTAGGTTGCTTATCTCCATTTCGTTTAGTTCTTTTCTTGGTGTTTTGTTCTGTTCTTTCATTTGGGACCTGTTTCTTTGTCTCCTCATTTTGGTTGCCTCCCTGTATTTGTTTCTGTGTATTACTTAACAAGAGGTATGGGACTAGCTGAGACCAGATGCTGCTTGTTTGAAAGAATTTAGGAAAACCTGAAGCAGGATCCAAGACAGGCCAATCCTATGGTTAAGCAAGTGGCAACAGCTTGGGTGGGCCTGAAAGTTGGGTGGGGCGGGGCCTCAGGGAATCACAAGGGTGGGGCAACCAGTGTGAGCCTGGTTGCTGAAGTCTCAGATATGGCAGCTGTCTGCTGCCCCAGGGAAGGGCTCACCAAAGGAACAAAGGCCTCTGACAGCACGTTTGTCCCGGAGAAAGCCCCCTCTCCAGTCCTCACACCAGTGCCAAACAGCTCAGTTCTTTCCTGTATGTTTCTGGCGCCCCTCAAGCTGCCTCCCCTCCAAGCTTAGAGGGAGTGAGTCTGATAATTCCATGCATGGGCCCTTTAAGAGTTGCTGCCTGGGGCTCCAGCCACCTCAGCCTCCCTGAGCCTCACTTCCCTCTGGTTTTCCAGCCAGAAGTTATGGGGATTCTCTTCCTGGCACTGGAACCCTGAGCGGGGTGCCTGGTGTGGAACAGGGACCCCTAAGTCCTCGGGGGGACCGTCCCAGCCAAGGTGTCCTCCTGATTTTTATCCGCCACACATGGGTGTGGGACCTGACTGTTTGCCTCCGCCCCTCCTACCAGTCCCAATGTGATTGCTGCTTTAATTTTGTAGTTGTAGGACTTCCATTCAGCTCGATGTCAGGCAGTTTTGAATGATGGTTGTTCTATAGTTTAGTTGTAACTTTGATGTGGTTGTGAGAGGACGCGATACCACATTTACCTATGCTGCCATCTTGACCAGAAGTCTCTGTTGGCCCACTTTTAATCAGACCTTTCCTTCTTTAGTTCTGAAGTGTTCTTTTTCATCTTGCCCATTTTTCCTCACTGCATTATCACCCTCTAAAAGGTGATAGTTGCCTAGAGAATGGTAGAATTTTCCAGGTGAGGATACTGAGGCTAGCTAATGCCAAATTTAAGGCTTCAATCTAGTCTAGGACTCTCCCCCTCTTTTGTGCAAAATTTAATTTTATTTAAAAATTTTATTTATGTATGTAATCAACATGGTACATGCTTATTATAAAAATGCAGAAATTGCAGATAAGTTTGGTTTTTTTCCATGAGCTTTTACATAGATCATGCATTTGTTGTTCTGCTGTGTAGTCTGTATTGTTGACAGGAAGCCACTGTCAGGATAGAATATGGAGAGACAGAATGGTTTCCTGTAAGTTGGGCAAAGGTGTGAGACATGGGTGCATTTTATCTTTCTGTTTAATCTGTATGCAGAATATATGATACAAAAAAGTGGGCTAGACTCAGGAAGGAGGAGTGAAAATTCTTAAAAGAAATATCAATAACTTAAGATGTGCAGCTGACAGCATCTTACTGGCAGAAAGTAGCAATGATTTGAAATTACTTTTGATAAAAGTGAAGAAGAAAGTGCCAATGCTGGACTGCATTTGAGCATCAAGAAGACAAAGATCATGACTACAGAAAAAATATACAAGTTTAATATAGACAGTGAAGACATTGAAATAGTTTCAGGTTTTGTTTACCTTGGTTCTCTCGTCAGTTCAAATGGACACTGCAGCCAAGAAATCAAGACAAGGCTAAGACTTGGAAGGGCAGCAATGGAAGAATATGGAAAGATCATCAAGAGCAAAGATGTGTAATTAGAAACCAAGACTAAGATCATCCACACCCTTGTATTTCCAATTTCTATGTACAGATGCAAAGATGGACAGTGAAGGTGACTGATAGGAAAAAGATTAATTCATTTGAAATATGGTATTGGAGGAGAGCTGTATGGATAGCCTGAATTGCCAGAAAGATGAACAAGTGGATCCTAGAGCAAATTAAGCCTGAGACTGCTGGAGACAAATGACAAAACTGAAGCTGTCCTACTTTGGGCACTGGGTTCTTTGAAAAAGATAATAATACTGGGAAAGAGGAATTACAAAATGGCGGCAGAGTGAATGGAAGCTACACAGACCATCTCCCAGGACCAAACTGGAATTACAACTAAAACAGACAAATCGATGGGGAAAAGCAACAGAAAAGCAGCTTGCAAGGATCATATAACCAGGGACACTGACTTGATCCTGGTAGGATTGCGGAGGCGTGAGAGGGGTCTGGGAGCCCACATACAGCAGCAGCCTGAGCTGTGAGCAGGGCCCTTGGGTTAAACTCCCAAGTGGCTCCACAGAGCAGAGCCGGGACAGAGGCTGAAATAGCCACAGCCACTCACCTTGGGCTCCGGCAGAAGGAGGCAGACTGGAGTGGAACTGTGTGGGGCACTTGGGATTTGGAGTGGGCTCAGAGTTTTTGCTGAGTTGTGGCCACACAGGACAGTGGTCATCTTGCTCCATCCCAGGGCTCTGGGGAGAGGCAGTGGCCCCTCCCTCGGAGATTCAACTCCACCCTGTGGGCCATTAAAATGCAAATTGAGGCTCACTAACAACCAGCATCTGCCCCACCCTTGGGATATCCCCTTACGCTGAGCACCTGAGGGAGTTTTTAATTCAACTGAAAAGCCAAGGCTCTTCAGGTAATCGCGACTGATAGCCTCCAGGCAAAAAACTAGAGGATAACTGTACCATTCCTGGCCTAGCAACTCTAACCAGGAAAGTAAGACTTGACAGTGGTGTTTAACGTGGGTTCTCCCTTGCTCATCCAAACCTAGGAGAGGGAACCACAAACAGCAGAACACCAACACCCACAGG